CCCCAAAACCCCAAAACCCCAAAACCCCAGTAATGACAGAGGAGGTTGAAGCAAATAATTTAATAATAAAATGGAAGCAGCTCAGACTCTTTCTCAAAGAATCGCCGAAGTTAGGAGGTAAGTTTCATATAAGACAGCCTAAAAGAGGTAGAGCTTAAGGTGTTTGGTAAAGGAGGTATTAGGTGCATCAAGCATTGCTTATTCCTGAATACATGTGCTTATTTCAGTGTTGAAGTTGATTCCAATGGTATGATAAGAGATATTGAATTTTATGGATGAAAATTTTAGCAAAGGAAAATTAATTATTCATGCATTTAATGGTTTAGAGAATTTGATATCAAAACTAAAATCTCAAACCTTTAAATCTAGCTTCACCAGACATATCATATATTTTGATCTTTTTAATAATAAGATAGTGCTAGACATTAAAAATCTTAACACAAAGACAATTGAAGTATCATAGACTCTCTTCTGTTTATCAAAATCCATCTGAACGACTCAACTATGTTTCACCAAAAACATATTTTCATTTATTCTTCCTTTATGGTTTCTGAAATTGATCCATAAATATTTGTCCATCACAAATCGGTAAATTGATTTAGCCAAGAGAAGCTCATTCATTCGACCAGCAAGGAATTAGACTCCACCTGATGGACAGACTTTTACTTTGTTGTTTACTTTACTGAGCCGAATCAGCCGACATTATATTCTCTGTATGGGGATGACTCTGAGGAAGAAGAATTCAATATTTGCTGTGACAAATACAGAGATGGCAAGGTTGCACAAAAATGTAGATCTCTCAAATTATTTGATATCGAACATTTTAATATGAATAATATCGAAAAACCGATTAAGCATTTTCATACTTTTCTGAACTATTCATTCCCAGATAGTGTTTACAACCTCAATGTTTCTTGCAGACACGCCTCACAGAATAAAAAGTTAAATATTTTTAAATCTATCATAAGAATAAGTCCGAAAATCAGAAATAGTGCTTGTTTTGAACAATTATGTTTGAATGAATCCCAATTCAAAAGACTGATTGCAGCATACAGACATGTGCACAATTTGACTTTCCGGAGGTGCAATCTCTTTATTCTGAACCCTCTAGATTTATCTACAGCCTTTGAAGACACTAAAATTGAGAGGCTCTCTTTAGTTGGTTCAGGTTTGCCTTGCTCCAGTTCTTGGGGAACAAACCTCTATATGTTCAAGAACTTAATCGTTGGTCTTGAGACTTCTAACGCCCTCGCCAAAACTCTCAAAGTATTGGATTTCAGATTCTGTGGGATTGAGGAGAGCAAAGCCAAAGGCTTGCTAGCTCAAAGCAGCTTAAGCGATAAAATATATTTCGGTAAATAAAAATATTCTGCCTTCAACCTTGAGTTAGAGAGTCGGGGTTTTGGGGTTTTGGGGTTTTGGGGTTTTGGGG